CAGTCGTCAGAAGTAAGACGGATCTCGTTAAGGTGTTTCTCGTTATCGTGCATAAAGACCTTAATTGCAGCCATCTTCTTAATAGCCCGATCCATAACTGAGTACCATGAAGACCACCGAGTCTGATTGTCAATCCCTAAGCGGAGGCCTACCTTGCGATCCCACTCTGCTGCATGTATACTTGAGTTGCGCAGCCAGACACATAGTTGATGTAATTTGCGTAGTGTAGAGATGTTCTCAATACCACAAAAGTCCTCATCAACAGACCCATGGCTATCAACGCTGCGTCTTCGGCGAGACAACCTTTGTCTCTGTGAGGTTTGTGGAACAGCTTGGGCTTGGGCTCTAGGGTTTCTCTGTCGAGAAGTAAGAACGCTTGAAAACTCTGCGAGAAGCTCTTCCCCCATAACATCCGTTACGGCGTCGAGAGCAGCGGTAAGAGCCTCCTTAGAGGATGCAAGCAGGAATGCCTGCAAGGATAAATTGATAATATGACCGATACATCGGATACGGCGCTCTTTAGCAGTAAATTTAACCTTGTTAATATTAGCACCATCGCGTAACTTAAGCAGCGAAGGCCGATTTTTATATTAAAAGCCATGCTTACGTTGTGCTTAGTTCGAAGGAGGGTTTCAAGATGCTCCAAACAGGTATCGTTAGATGTTGCGTTATCACCCGTATGCCAGCCAACTCTAGACTGTATCCCATATTCCTCGAGGGTTTGAAGAAGTAAGTGCGCTTGCTGTTCTCCAGAGTGGCTGTAACGACATTCTGGCAGTCCTAAAAGAGCCTTCTGAAGCTTATATTCGTGATCGACCCACTGTGCGCATACAGCAAGGAGAGATGAACGGAACGGTGATGTCCAGAGATCGGTTGATATGTGGATAGGACTCACAGCCGTCGATAAGCTGCCTTTAATTACATGGCCTTTATAAAGCTGATAATTCGAGGCGATAAGACGTACGGCTGTACGTCGACTTGTGATAAGCTGGTCTTCAATAAATGGATTGCAAGCAAGCGCTAGATCCCTCATTTCAGACCATTCGATTGATGAAAAGGCTATTCGACGTCGAGTCAGAAGACCGACAAGCGCATCGCGATACCCTTGTTCATTGAAGGCGTTGCGGATAATTGTCTGATCAGAGACAGTCCTAAACACTGAAGTGATAGCTGGTTGCGACGACGAAGAAGAAGTTTGCGAGGGCTGAGAAGACTCTGACGTTGTATGATATGCTAGAACATGGTGGATAGAGTTTACTCGGTGACTGCTAAACCATGAGCGACAGCGTTTGCACACATACTGCTTTTTCAAACGCTGGCGCTTTGCATTGCTGGTGTTACAGACAGTTTCGGTTCGTATAACAGCGTCAAAGTGTGGCGGCGTTGCGGGTCTTCGCGACGGTGGCGTTGATATCGCACTTGCTGACAAGGTATTCGATGACATAACGATAATAGATGCTATAGATAATGGATTTGTTGAGATTTCAGGTTAGTGGGGAGTGGTTGCAGAGTTTTTGAGATGCAAAGGTGGGGTGCTTGGCGCCAAGCCTCTTATAGCGTTTTTAAATCGTTCACGCGTTTAAGGATTTTCTTAAACGCGTGAACAGTTTAAGCTGTTAAAGCGTTTTAAAACGTTTTAAGCTAAAACGTTTTACGCAAACGCGTTAAGCTGCCCATGTATGCCACCCACCAAGTCATGCATCTGCGGTACTCAGATTTTTAGTGTTGTGGAAAGATGGAAGGACTCCTATAGGTTTTTCCAAGTAGATTTTTTAGAAAAAGAAGCACCCGCCCCGCCCCGCCCAGTCATGTAATGTTCAGTGAAATTGTTTTAGACAGATAAGAGAAGGGTTTTGGTAATATAGAAGAAAGAAGCCAGCACCCCCGCTGTGCGCGGTCCGTGGCCATTTTCAGAAAAAAAAAGCAGCAGCCGCTCCGCCCACCCAGTCATGCCTCAGTTGCGGGCTCTTTTCAGACAAATTGTCGAGACGCGGTGAGAGCCTTCACTAGTATTCACGGTGAATCAGGCTTCCCGTGCTCTGATTGGCCAGGCACTGATTAGTCAGCTGCTCCGTGCGCGCACCATAGATACTCTCCCTTCTCCCGTAGCTCCAATACAACAAGTTCACGCACGTTTTCTCCACCTTCATCACAAATAAACAGAAGTAGATTTTCCAACATCGTAGAAACATAGAAGATAAAGGAGGAAAGAGATTAGAGGACAGCACCCCTTACAGTTTTGTGTCGTCGTCAAGTTTTCCAGAAACAGCAGCAGCCACCGCCAAGTCATGGTTGTTTTACGTTACTGTTTTTAGACAAATACGAAGAAGTAGATTTTCTAATATCGAAGTACAATGAAAAGATAGAAAGGGAGGAGAAAGATAGGAAGAGATAGAGCAGCCCTATGAGTCTTTCTAAGTAGAATTTCCAGCACGATCAGCAGCCACCCCGCCCAGTCATGTTCATGATTCCGCCACGATTTTAGACAAATGCACAGATAACTTAGATCTTCCAATATCGTAGGAAGATAGGAAAGAAGGTAACAGCCCTATGAGTTCTACATGCCGAAATTTCTAGGGAAAGGGCCCGCCCAGTCATCTCACATACCTAGGTAGCGACGGAAGTTTTAAGTAAAAACAAGGCAGTATTTCAAATGCAGAGGAAAGGAAGACAGCAGCGCCATTAACGCAGCCTCTACAGATTATTAGAAAACGCAGAACCTCCACCCCTCTCCGCCATCTGTCGCTTATATCATCTTTTTAAACAAACCCACGGAAAATTTTCAAACAATCTAGAAGACCCTACCCACTCCACTCGGCCATTACTTCAACTTGTTTTGATTTTAGCCAAATACATGGAAGATTCCCAGATTTTACTAAGATAGAAGAGGATGATGATGATGATGATGATGTAGAAGGAAAGACGGAGAGGGCAGCAGTGAGGAGGGGTTTATATACACAGAGCGTCGAGGGTGGATGAGTCAGCGGTGGTAGGCAGGCAGCAGGTAGGCAGCAGAGAAGGACGAAAAGACAAAGGGGTTATGCATGTACTCACACTCCCTTCCCACCGAACGCCTAGTAAGTCATATCTTCGAAAAGACAATCGGGTTACGCACATGTATCACACTCCCCTCTCTCACCACACTCCCAGCAACTCATATCCTCGAAAAAGACAAACGGGTTATACATGTACTCACATCCCCCTCCACATCTCACACTCTTCTCATACTCCCTTCTCCTCTCACCACACACGCACAACACACACAACCCCCAAAAAACCAGAGCCAGACAGCGCTTCATATAACTTCTAAATTCCCACTACACCTTACTACACCATACTATACACACGAAAGCCCCCTAACCCCCATTCTCTGTTCCTCTGTCCCTCAAACTCCTTGCCGTAACCCACTAAAACGCCACCCTATCCCCATGCTCTATAATGCATTCCCAACCGAGGAGAAAAAAAAGGAAAATGCCATAAATGTATGTATGTGTATATGGTATGTAATGTAATGTAAAAGGAAACCCTGACTGACCGACTGACTCTGGGGAGGAAACCATGTAAATATATTTGCAAAATGGGTATAATAAAATAACCATCTCACCCCATCCTCTCTCCCCCTTACCCTCGCCAGAAAAGAAAAACGTGCACCGAAACCAGACACCCCACACCACACACCCTCATCCCCCCCCACCAACCCCACTCTCCCTCTTCCGCCTCCGTCTCTGTCTCGCATTATCCCTCAAAAAGCTCGGATCAATAAACCCTTCGGGCAACTCAAACTCCCTCTCTTGTAGCTCCGGCACCGGGTGTCCAAACGCCGTGGCATTCCGTCCATGACGGTGTTTACCCAGTGCCGCAGCGCGAAGATGCGGTTTACTGTAGAAAGATTGAAATGGGGGTAGAGGTTCAGTTGCTAGTAGAGGAAGGAGAAAGCCGTGGGGACGAGGTGGTCGACGGGGTTTAGCAGGCTCGGGGGGGTCTTTGGAGTGGGTGTTTGTGCGGGGATGCGTCTGATGTGAATGCTGAGAATGATGAGAATCACGAGGATGAACAATAATACTATCCGTATCTTCCGTGTCGTCATCGTCGTCGTCGTCGTCGTCACGCGCGGCGAGCGCAGCTTCCTTTTCAGCGCGCAGCCGCTTCTCCTCCTCCTTCCAGACGCGGAATTTATCCACGAGCGCCTCGACTTCTTTGACGAAATAACTGCGTTTAGCCTCCCAGTCTTTGCGCTCGCCGTCGGTTACACCCGTTATGCCCATTACTTTGAGCCAGTCGGGGCCTTGGAGGCCGTCGAGGAGACGCTCCAGTTGCACTTTTTCGTGCATGGCGCGTTCCTTCTCAATGTTGCGGAGTTGCTTCTCCTTGCGCTCGGCGCGGCGGTGCTGGGTAAAGTACACCGCGTCGGCGAGGGGGTCTTCGTCATGGACAGGGTGGTGGACGGCATTGGAAAAGTTGCAGACGCGAAATGTGGTTGACGATTGTGCTGGGGCAGGGGCAGGCGCGGGGGAACAAGGCGATGTGTGTCGCGCCTGCCGTGAACGCGTCGGACTTGCTGTGTTTGGCGAAGGGTCTGGAGTAACAGGCAAGGGCGACTTTGACTTCAGCGGCTCATCTACAATGTATATGGGCGTGTCGGGTTGGAGAAACTCTGGATGCGACATTAGCTAGCATGTCGCGACAGTCACCCTTTCACACGTACCCGCCTCTTTGGGCACTCCGGCAATGATGTCGTCGTAGTTGCAAAAGTAGACGGCTAGGTCGCTCTTTAATCGCGAGCCGCCGTCGTGGCTGCGCAGACTGCGCTTGTCCTGCGACGAGGCTGTGGATTGGGGCGCGGGGACAACAGCTGAGGGCGCTTGAAGCTTCTCCGAGCTGCTGCCAGGCCGCGGCGTCGAGGGTGCAGACGTCGAGGGCACGTCGTCGGCGTGCATGTCCAGAGGGGCTTGGACTCCATTGGTGATGCGCAATAGTTGGCCATGGGGCCGCGTCACGGTGATTTTAGTTGGTGGTCTTGTGCCGGTCGCGTCAGTGTCGTTGTCGTCGTCGAGGGCAGCGGCTGGACGCTTCCGCGACGAGTGGGTGCGGGCAGGCATGGGACGTCTTTCTTTGGTACCATAGTCATGGCAGGGACTGTCATGATCACTCCTTGAGCTGCGCCTTGTCGCGACGGGAGTGGTGATGTTGTTGTTTGTGGTGCGCTGGGCGTGGGCGTGTTGGGGGCCGTCATCGCGCGACGACACGGGCAAAAAGTTGAGTCTTGTTTGCCGTTCATTGGAGCTTCGCAGCAGAGGCCGAACGGCGTTGGCCATGTTGAGCAAGCTGGAAATCATTCGCGGTTCGCAGGGTCATCTTTCAGCGACTCATGGTTGACAAGCCATTGAGTGTTGCGCTGCTGGCCGGGTTCATGCAAAACGCGAGCCGTTAGGGGGTGTCGACTTGAGAGCGTCCGCGCAGGCGAACTGCTGCACCGTACCGCGCCGGCCCAAATGCAAAGCTGCAAAACTGACCCCCAGACACGGGGACGAGGTTGAATTAAGCTTCATACCAGATTACTTTGATCTTGATCAGAATAAGTATCCAGCGAATTGCAGTCGACCAACTGCGATGGACTTGGATGAGTTGCGCCACCGTATTGTCAGCCAATCGCCACTTTATCCTGGTTCAACACCATGTCGAGTGTGAACCATGGTTCCCGCCGGGGGCGATGCGATGCCTATGTACAAAGCTACAATTAGGCGTAGCATGACTGCCCTCGCCTAAACAAGTGTGGCAATGACTGCTTCAAGGTAGTCTGACAGTACTGTTGCATTTCTACTCCCCGAATCATACCGTTGCACCACTTGAACCTTTTTCCATGCAATCTTGATCCTGTTACATGTGACAAGTCGAAACGTGCAAAACAAACTATATACACTCCCAATTACACCCACACACGCAATGTTATATACGAGAATGACATCACGAGAACAAAAAGTCCTTGAGGACTGGTGACCCGGCAAACTGGGGGTTGAGCAGAACGCAGCTATTCTTAGAGTCAGTCGAGATATACGCTAGTGGGGTGTTATCGATAGCAACACACTTTAGAAAGTACGAAAGCCCGTGTTTCCGCTTTTCCAGAAAACGTGGGCGGAACCGAGCTAGACATGTGAGTGATAGTGAATACGGCATGGACGTTCATGACTTACATATGACTGATTTGGGGGGAAATTGCGGCAGTGAGGCAGCGGCATCGGGGAATGTCTTGAGTAGCTTGGTGTGCAGGTCCTCAAACTCCGAGTATCTACAACCTCGGTCAGAACTACACGACATGGATGAATCGCACGGAAGAATAGTTCACCTCTTTCGGATCTTCATGGGTCCACCCTAGCATCCATCATCGTCAGCTCAACCTCACACGGACCCTCTGCATGAGACCATGTCTGCAAAAACAAATCTCGCGCAAATGATTGGCGGCAGCGTGCAGAACTAGCGTCACTTACATCGAGCGTCTCAACGGTACAGTTCCAGACAACGTATGCCCCAAGCCCAGGCGCACTTCCGCTGACGACGACGTAATCATCAATCGTGACGCCTTTGGCCCAGAGCACCTTGCAGTGGTCGGAGCCCTCGTCCGTGTGGTCTTCGAGGCTGATGGGCGTGGGGTGGCCATCGGCCGAATACGTGCTCAGGTAGCTGTGGCGCTGATGCTGTTGCTGCCAGTACGGAGGCGAAACCACATCAACCCTGGTGCCGTCGTCTTGCAGGGCAGTGGCGGCTTTTGCCCCATCATGGCGGGCTGGCGATGGCGACGACGACGAGGCTCCCGTTTCAAACCTCGCCGGCTCCATTCATTTACAGTAGCGGATTTGGCGGGTGGCGCGGACGATAAGAAAGGTGGTTGGTGTTTCCGAAAGCCGCGTGGAGGTGAGGGGTAGATAATGTAGATGACAACCGTGTCCAAGGGCTGAGAGGATGCAGCAGATGGCGCCAGTAAAAGTGGCTAGTTTCTATTGACTTTGTATGGGTTGACGATGAAAGAGAGAATGATGCGCAGATGGCAAGCCGGGATCCCATATCGCCATAGCACAGACGGCCAATCTCAAAAGGCCCTGCGTGAACATTCCCTGCCGCCACCCCGAGCTATGCCTGTCCAGCCGGGGATTTGTGGGCTCACTTGTATTGCTCGTGAAGCTATCGCGCTTTTTGCACACACCACACGGCTGGTATAGCCATGACCCCACCCGTCGTAGAGCCACAAACAAACTATCGGCCCAGCACCCGCCACCCGCAAGAGGCAGCACTTTCGGGCGAGCAAAAGAGGGCGGGGACGACGCGCACGTACCGGCCAGCGACCTCTCCCGTACTGGTGTCGACACTAGCTCCATACCTTTGCCGTGAATGCCTCGCTCCCTTTATATACCGCAACCCGCCTTGCCCTTCCAGCCTCTCCGTCCGCAACCTACTATCGCTGAGAAGTATAAAAAGCGTCGAGGCAATTCTATTTTATTTCCTCACCTTGCGCATTCAGTCTGTCGCTGCCAAACAAAAAAAAATCCAGTACGCTTTTTAATATCATTTCTCCGGTATGTATATACATTCCTGACACACGAGTGCATAAACGTAGCTAACACAACATGAACCAGTTCTCCAACCTCCCCGCCTCACTCTCTCAACACCCCTTCACCACCACCACCACCACCACCACCATGCACTCCATCGCCATCCTCAGCATCGCCGCCCTCGCTGGCTTGTCCGCCGCGCAAACCGCGCCCCAGTTAAACTACCCATACTCCATCGATCCCGACACTGTCGACCAGTCCACCAGGGGTACGTTTTCTTTCTTTCTCCCTCCCTCTCCTCCCATCTCATCACTAACAACGACACAGACTACTGGTGCCAACAAAACACGGCGCAATGCCCTCTCATTTGCCTGCAGCAACCCGGCGTAGAATCCATGACCACGGAGACAAACACATGCGACTCTGACAACCTAACCTACCAATGTGTGTGCGACAACGGCATGGCACCGAATATCACACAGTACTCGCAGACGCTGCCGTATTTCATCTGCCAGCAGTGGGGCAACAATTGTGTTTCAAACTGTAATGGTGATAACACTTGTCAGTCAAAGTGCCGGTGCGTGTCCATTCTCTCTCCCTCGCACTTCTTTATATGCTGATAACCAAATAGACAAGACCACCCCTGTGGTGCCCAATCCCCCTTCAAAGGCAACACCTCCCTCCCCACCACCATGGCCTCGACCGCCGCTCCCACAGGCTCAGCTACAAACGGTATCCCCGTCACTGGGTTCGGAGGTGCTGCACCAACGGGTTCTAGCAACAACAACTCTCCTAACCAGGGTGGCGCGGGAACAACTATCTTCATGCCGAATGCGGGACTTGGTCTTGCTGCGCTGTTTGGCAGTGTGTTTTTTGGTTTTGCCGTCTTGTTGTAGGGGATGTGTTGGGGATGTGAGTTTGGTTTATGCATAGCGTGTTTGCGATCTTTTTACGCGTTTCTTGAGTTTTCCGGCATGGCATTTGCATAACAGCATCACAGCACTACGCATTGGATCTATACCCTCGGGGTATGCTCATCCAACCCTTTCGCTCATTTCATGGCCGCATTTGCATATTGGGGTTTTACGGCGCTTTCTTTACTCATTCACTCCTTACTGGGGGATTGCATACAAGGATACATACATAATACTGGGTCTATTTCGATGAGATGGAGATGAGATGGGGAAACGGCCTTGGTCTAGTAATGAGAATAGCGAAGTGGTTAATACGCAAATAAAACACCATGTCGATGACGATGACGATGATGAACCGTTTATTGGTTTGGCTGATGCTTGACGCTTGTGTTTGCTTTTTGAGATGGGCGTGTGGGCGTGTGGGTGTATGTGGTGTGATGTCAGTACCATATTTACTTTTCAACGGTTCCATCGTTCCCTGTGTTCCCGCGCGCCTCATCTCACACCCAACCCAATTTCGCAGACTCTTAAGCCGAGGTAAGTACGCCAACGCCAATGCCAATGCTCACTGAATCCACCCATCCCTCACCGACTTTACCCCTACCCCTACCCCTACCTACTCCCTCCTCCTCACTCCTTCCGGATCAGTATATCCCAGTCAAAGCGTTTTATAGAAACCCCACTTTTATATCAGATAATCACCAATATCTCAGATATACTTGTGCATATTTCACATGGCGTACGGATGCGGTACAACTAGGCAACCGATATCTCCGAGAACAAGTATGTCTGTGCGTTGCTTGGTTGGATCTGTGCGGGTGCGGGTGCGTGTGCGGGTCCGGGCGTGTGCAGGAATGTCCGATTCCTACATAGTTTATCACAACAGCTTGGACCGTAGACCACAGACCGGACCATAGATGGCATCACAGCTTAGACCACAGATCACAGGCCATTGATGGCATCACAGCTTAGACCCTACATAGACCACGGATAAAGCACAGAACCGGAAGATGAACAAAAACACAGACACAGACACAAACACAAGCATACCCCCTACCCTTACCCTTCCGCCCTTACCCTTCCGCCCTTACCCTTCCGCCCTTACCCTTACGCCCTTACCTTTACGCCCTTACCCCATACATACCGCCCAAGAACGCGTCTCAGTCTACCCGAGTCCAGCTCGAACGAAGCGCAAAAGCAAAAGCAAGACAACACCAGCACCAGCAAAGTTCTAGATCACGCAGGAGTAGTTCAGTGGTACAAACACTGTCATTAATCATCAACATTCATTCATTTATTCATTCATTTATTCATTCATTTATTCATTCATTTATTCATTCATTTATTCATTCATTCATCCATCTCTATACTAACTGGTTATATGTTTTCTCACTTTTCGTATATATCGTATCGTAAGTAGAAGTAGCGTATGTAAGCACTAGTTTCGGAATGGAATCCCTTGCGCCGCTTGTGTGGAACCGAACGCCATGAGTCTGTGATGATGATGATGAAAGCGGAGTAGTGTAGTGTCGTTGAAGATCGTTGATGGGGACATATTTTGTTCTTGGGGTAGAACAGACAAGACAAGACATCCCTTACCTTGTCTACCCTCCCTGCCTGTCCTCCTTCCTACAAGAAAGAAACACGAGGAAACAAGGACAAACACCCCCCTCCCCCTCCCTTCCCATCCCATATCACAATCCCCTCCCTCACAAACACTCCCTCTCCGGCACCCCCACACCCCCCTCACCCTCGCCCTCACCCTCCCCCCACCAACACTGATCCTGTAAACTCTTCTTCGGGCTCAACCTTCCCCTCCTCACCCCAATCAACGCCGCCCTCTCACTCATCTCCCTCCGACAACCCACCCCCTGCTCCACATACGCCTCCCTAAGATTCTCATTTCCTTTGCGCCCGCCCTCGCGCCTGCGGACAGGGTGAATAGCGGTATCGGGCAGCGGACTAGGCGGTGCAGCATGCGTAATAGAAAAATCTATTTCGTCCTCCCCATTATCGCCAACCAACGTGCTGCGAGCGAGACTCGAGGGACCGATTGGTGGGGCGGGGCGAGTGGGCGCGACGACGGCGACGTGTTCAGTTGAGAGGCGGAACATGCGTTCGCTGGAGTGGGAGGACGATGTGGAGAGGACGATGGCGTGGGAGGGGGGTCCGAGGGTGAGTGTTTGCATGGCGTCGAGCGAGGGGATGGATGTGGGGCGGAGGATCTGGGTTGAAGACGGTGCTGTGTCCGGACGGTCGCCGTGGCGGAGACTGGTTAGGAAAGATTCGCTGGATGTGGTTGTGATGGAATCTTCGTGTGTGAGGGGGTGGCGGCGGGGTGAGGGTAACGGTGAGGGTGAGGGTTCTTCGGGACTCCCCTCGACCATGGTGGAGGATTGGGAGAGGCGGCGGACGGTTTGGAAGTGGCGGTTTCCTACTGCGATGAAGTCGGTGCTGGAGGATGATAGGGAGGAGCGGGTTGAATTTGAATCTGCGCGAGCTAAATTTGAATCCGCACGAGCTGTTAGATCTTCGTATGATGGTCCGGGTGTGACCATGCGGATGCTTAGTAGTCGGGTGACGGGAGGTATCTCCTCTGGTGCTTTCTGCGATCCAGAGAGTACGGGTGAACAATGGCCAGCTCTGGGGTTTGAGAATTCCGCCCTTGGCACATCAGAAGATGCAAGCAGTGAGTTGTCATCCGTGGAAGCATGAGGAAGGATACCAATATCGCCAAACGGCACCGCTAATGCAGTTGAAGGACTCACAAGAAGCGACTCTCTTGTTGAAGCCGGAGCTGCATCATTATACACCATCCTCCCCTTTCCCTTGTCAATCTTGTTGAAGTACCCCGTCTTGAGAAAGCCCCCAAAGCTAAACTGCGAGTCTTTGCGCTTGTGCTTGGCACTCTGATGCAGCTCGTCCTGATCCGTATCCCCATCGTATTGCAGCTCGTTGTGCAGCCGCGTTTGGATCGACGTTCTGCGTGCCTGGAGTGCAGTCTGGAAGGCAATCCAGTCAGCCGTGGTGTAGAAGAGACTAGGACCTTCTTCGCCGTTGGCATCAAAGAACATGCTTACATGCGGTAGATGGGCTGTGCCCTTCCAAGCCTGTTCCTCCTGCGTTTCAGAGCCCTGAGATATGCTTGAGCGCTGTGTGTTGTATGGATTGCTTGGCACGTTGTCATCATCAGCGGACCCCCTGCGACTGCCAAAGATGCGCTTGAGTCTGGCAATGGTCTTTTCTAGGAGCTCGGCAACCTGCGAAGGCCTACGTGTATTTTGTCGGTTGTCATCTTCGTTGAGGCCGGGTGTTGGAGGTGTAGTGGGAAGTGTAGAGTAGTCACTGTCCTTACGAGACCATGGTTGTGACATGGTCACGCAGTAAGTAGGCCGCGGGCTGCAAGGACGGCCAATTGCTGTTATAAGACCAGGCGCTGATGTTCTCTTTCGCTTTTCACATTGACCTCCCCGATAGAAGCGAGTTTCCGAAACGCGTCGCTTCAGTGATTGCGAAGGGCCGGAAGGATGATGAAATTCAGGCTCAACTTCCGATTCAACAATATTCACAACGATGGAGGGTTCGTTGGAAGGTACATGTAGAGGTGTTTGAAGTGTCATAACATCGAATTCTCAAGAAATTGGATAACAGAGTTTCTCGATGCAAAACATGACCCCTCTCCGTAGGTGTCAACAGACTTAATACTTGCCCTGAGATTGAGTGGTACGATGGGCACACGTCTGCCCAGCAACCGGACGCATGTGGGCCTACCGGACATGACGACCTAGGAAGTCAATTGGTATCTCGAAATGGCAGGTAGAAGTCATGGTACGGGTCCGGCTAGAGATGACGATGCCGATTAGGTGAGTGCTTGGAAGCTTCTTGAAATTGGATTGGAACGACCAAGTGCTCCTGTACCTGCGCATGCATGGAGCTGAATCGATCTCGAATGTTCTTGAGATGCCTTGGCCTATAAAATGCGCGGGGCGAGACGGTTCATATGGTATAGTGGTTGTCTAATAGACTACTGCGATTGATCGGGCAGGCTCAGGCCGATCGCCCAAGATTCTGGACCCTGGGATGGATTGGCATCATTAGTAGTCTGCGACGAGGTTCCAGATGTTGCATCACAATGACATGAAGATATTAACCTCCTAATTCGATAGACTTCGGTCCGTACGTGAGTTGCGGTGCGTCTTTAACCGTAGTCACGATAACTGCTATAAGATAGCAGACCCTGACCAAGAAGTAACGCGTTGTTTGCCTGTGGAGAAATAATAACAGTGTTGCATATTTGATCTATGAGGGAAACGGTTTGTTGAGATGCAATTGACGAACAGCGTTGTAGTGGTTCGGAGACATGTGGAGTCGTGGGCTGGATGTAGTTACCGGCGGGTCGGCACAAGTTGCTTGCGATGAAGCTTGGCGTCGATCTGCAAACATGCCAAACACATCAACTCCATGACAACACCATCTCGACGGTCCGCGACTTTCCCGCACTCGCTCATGCTACCATAAACTTTCCCAGGCTCGCAATGCCGCCTCGAATATCAGTGGCAGCGCCCAGAAGCCTGTCGTCACGATCGACAGTCCTGGTTCGTCGGAGGTTTGCTTCAAGCTCCGCAAATGTCCCCGAGATCTACGATGTCGTCTGTGTAGGCGGCGGGCCAGCAGGATTGAGTTTGCTCACGGGATTGAAAGCGTCGCCAATCACTAGCGCGTTAAAGGTTGCACTCATTGAAGGTCAAGATTTGCAGAAAAGTCGACTACCACAAGATGCGAGTTTGGACACTTTCTCAAATAGATGTAGCTCCCTCACGCCGGCATCTGTGAGAAATCTACAGGGTATGGATGAGCGACTGAGTTGAGAAATACTGTCTAATTTGTGCGATAGAAATTGGAGCATGGGCGCATGTAAATGCACCCAGAGTGCAGCCATACCAGGAGATGCAAGTGTGGGATGGCGTGAGCGATGCGCGCATATCCTTTGACTGGCACACTGCAAAGCCGCTTCTAAGTCCTCGTAACCCTGCACAACCCACGACAATCGCCTACATGATCGAAAACGTCAACACTGTCACAGCCCTTCTTAGCCGGCTTGAACAACTGGGGGGTGTCGATTTCTACACGTCTACAAAGGTCGAGTCAATTGAATTGGGCGTTGATACAGAGACAATGGACTTTTCATCTTGGCCAACTCTCAAGTTGTCAAATGGAAAGACATTGGCCGCTAGGTTGTTGGTGGGAGCTGATGGTGCAAATAGTCCTGTTAGGACATTTGCTGGCATCGAGTCGCGAGGCTTTGACTACGCTAGACACGGTGTGGTGGCCAGTCTGAAGCTGGAGGGACAAGGCTGGGGTGGACCAGACCACAAGATTGCATATCAGCGCTTCTTGCCAACTGGACCAATTGCCATGCTTCCACTCCCTGGCAACATGTCAACACTTGTGTGGAGCACCACGCCCGAACGTGCGGCGAAACTCAAGGCCTTGTCACAGAATGATTTTGTCGCAATGGTCAACGCAGGCTTCCGTCTATCACCAACAGATCTCGAATACCTCCACACTTTATCATCGGGACAAGAAGAGGAAATAGCATGGCGAGAGAAGCACACACCAGTCGATGAACGTGCAGTTCCCATGAGAGTAGTATCAGCCCAAGCCGGCACTGTTGCATCCTTTCCTCTCCGGATGCGACATGCCGATACGTATACCGGGGAACGAGTAGCGCTTGTCGGCGACGCTGCACATACCATACACCCGCTCGCAGGCCAAGGACTAAACCAAGGCCAAGGCGATGCAGCAACTCTCGTCCGAACGATATCGCATGCAGTGCAGACGGGTCAAGATATCGGCTCGACCCTGGCGTTAGAAAGCTACACCAGCGAACGCTATGCGGAAAACAACGCAATGCTAGGTGTGTGCGATAAGCTGCATAGATTGTACAGTGTAGAATCAGGACCCCTTGTCGGACTACGCAGCTTGGGGTTGCGAGCTGTAGATTCAATGGGTTCGCTTAAGAGCTTCTTCATGAGTCGGGCAGCGGGCGGATCGTAGATGTTTGTAATTTTATTTGTGCAACGTATGTTATATTTGGACAAAGCACCAAATGAATGGCGAAATATATCATCCGCAATGATCTACCCACGGCTTCTTTTCCGAGTTGGCGGCCCCACTAAGTAAGTAGTTAGTACCCGCCCCTCCAAACCAAGTGATCACACCTTGTCCGTCGACAGCACTTCCCGCCTCGGCACGGCATACATCATTTACCAACCCGAACAATGGCCGACCATCAAAGCGAGATTGAAGCCTTTGGCAGCAACGATGACTTTTGGCTCTTTGGCTACGGGTATGTAGATACGGGTTACCCAAAAGACCGAATACGATGACTAACCACCGACTACTAGGAGCTTAATCTGGAAACCACCACCACATTATGGTATGGATTTCTCCTTTATGCTCAATGAATTTTCTAAAAAGAGCTGGTGTTTTGTAAAATAAAACAATTGGTTCGATGTTGATGTTGAATTAGACCAGCGTGTACCCGGATACATCGAAGGCTACGTGAGACGTTTTTGGCAGGTAAGAACATGTTTTCGATCCATCAGTCAACGCTTTCATCGTCATCTTTCCTCCATCTTTGTCGCGACAGAAAATAAGCTATGGTAATATATCTGAACTGAACCGCTAAATCATGCACAGGCGAGGTAAGCCCACCCTCACACCCACCCAACACCCAAAAAGTTAGAGTGGAAACACGCCCTGCACACGAACGAACGGGAACCAATTCCGCGAACTTATCCAGCTTCTGCAAAGAAAACCCCGTTAAACTCATCCACACAGTGAAGACCACCGCGGTACACCCGAAGCACCCGGCCGCGTAGTAACACTAATCGAACGAGCCTTTTGGTCCACACTATCAGATTCTGTACATCCCCCTTAACCCTCTCCCCTCCTTCCTTCCCCCTCCCCGCCCTTCCCACAAACTAATAACCAACACAGCACACAGCCCACCCACGTGTCTGGGGCGCCGCATACCACATACCGACTCAACACGTAGCAGCCGTACGGTTGTACTTGGATTTACGCGAGATTAACGGGTATTCGATTCAGTTTACGCCATTTTATCCTGCTGGTGGTGAGAAGGAAGGCGGGGATGGGAAAGCAAAGAGTATAAAATGCCTGGTTTATATCGGGTTACCCGAGAATCCGCAGTTTCTTGGTGCGCAGGATCCGCAGGGGTTGGCGGAGAAGATTTTGGAGAGTATGTTGTTCTGTTTTTCATCCACTTCATACATTGATGCTAATTCACGCCCGTCTTGTGCGGATATTTAAGATTTGTCGGTTGTGTTTGCTAACACGAATCTTCCAGGCAAAGGCCCAAGCGGCGAGAACAAAGAATATCTATACAACCTCGAAACCGCACTGTCGGGATTAAGCGAAGAAAGCAATGATTCTCATATTAGCGATTTGGTACGGAGATGTAAGGCGCTGGAAAAGGAGAAGGGAGGGGTTGAAGGGAGTGGGAAAAGTGATGGGGAAGGGGAGAAGTTGCATAAAGTAGGATCGACGGAGGAGCAGGAGGAGGTTGAGAAGTAGGTAAGCTTATTATCACTGTTCATTAGGTTAGAAGGAAGAATAAGGACTGATGATACATGTGTACGACGGTTTCTAGCTAGCCGATATTGCCTGTAGGGATTAAGACTTCTACAGTGTTTTTCCGTACGGAATGAACTTTTACTACCGATCTTATCGCGCTTTGCAAGATAGCTCACGCTCTGAACCTACAAGGTCCCTAGCCTGAAGGGCTTGGCGTAGTCATATGCGTGGATCGGCCGGGTACTTTGTAATTCTCTGCGGAACGCGGTGTTGAATGGCTGGGTGACTACGTTTAACTGGGTTTAGCAAGAATGGTATTTCGGAATGGGAAATTAGCGATGACATGTGTCTTGTACCTTGAGCTAGGGCTCATATTTTGTAAACACTGGAATTGATATAGAGACCTTCACTATTTTTCTCCGTCAAGTAACCAAATATGGAATATAAACATCTTTCTTTTTAGATAACTATGCGATTGTTCTTCTTAAAGTTCGCGTTAAGTTGAAAGATAGGATGATGGTGTGATTGTCCTATTTAAGTTCGCCTTGGGATGAAAGATGGGATGATTTGGCTGGAAATGTTCCATTTGCTAGTCTTTGGCGTTTACGTGACAATTGCAAAGCATGACCAAGCGACTAGGTAGTCGCGCTGCGGTGTTGTCGGATAAAAACGAACGCAGAAAGATTTAAGTTGTTATGGTCTTCCTGCACGAGTAAGTAGCGAAGTGGCCGAGAGACCATAATGTCGAAGTGATTGTTAGTATGACAGTGCTATCTGCAGATATGTCCTCGAGCGATTGCCGCATGTAGAATAGTCTCTTTCACTTTGCCCACTCTGGCACTGTTGCCCCGCTTCCCACTTGATTTTACAATGACCACAATCTGGTAAATACTTGAAATACTAGTGCCAATCACAAAATTTCATCAAAATCAACAAACCCAACCAACATATCCACAACACACACCGCCAGCAAAGCCATGCCATCCCCTTCGCTCTTCCCCACACTCCCCAACGAGCTGCTCGACCAAATCTTCGCCCACGTCAGCAAACGTGATCTAATGAGCCTAGCAGAAACCCACACCGTCTTCATCCTCTCGGCGCAAAGCAATCTAGTCTCCGATTTCGAACTACCGGCGCAGTCCACGCTTGCAGATCCTTTTGCGGGATATTACCAAGAAGAGAATTACATACCCGGCTCTAGACGCCCCTTACATGACGACCGCCAAACATCCAGTAGCAGCTTAGCCGCGAACTGGGCTGCTGTGACTTCACTCAACGGTAACAAGCAAGACTGGAACGGAGTCCCGCCGACTATCCAGCAACATCGCGGAGCAGACCATATCCGAGAGCGGCAGAAGACGGTAGCTCTCTTCCTCTATACCTTGATCGCGGCGCCGCGTCTGGCGAAACAGATCAAGCACATGCGCATAGATGCCGAGTGGGGCTTCTCTCTCTTCGTACACACTCAGCTCCAGGAAATCTTCGCGGGCCTGCCGAAGCTGGAACGTCTTAGTGTTGTGGTGAGGGATCGGTGCTGAGGCGAGGACTGGCAACTACAGCGCGAGCAGTGCGTAGGTGAACTCCAACGACTTGTGAATTCTGCGCAGAACCTCACTGCCATTGAACTCACAATACCATGCCACACAGCGTTGTCATCTCTGCTCCAAACACCACGCATCACCACCTTCACAGTCGGCACGTCGCGCAGCTGGAACATCTCGACTGACACAATCACCACACCAGAAATAACCCAACTACCCTACCTCCACACCTTCGACTCGGGAACCCTTTTCCTCTCGCAACACGCCGCCGTTACCCTCATAGCTAGAGTGCCACACCAGCAACACCTCAGCCTGCGCATCGAGTCGCTGAACCACTACCCCACAAGCGCCCCGAACTTCTCCAGCCTTCTCTCCACCACGCTAACCTCGCTGACAATCTCTAGCACAATCGATGAGCAAGCCTACAAGCCTAGCTATTACTCCTTCACTCCCATCCCCATCGACCTATCCCACCTGTCCGCCCTAACCACCCTCTCCCTCGCAAGCCCCCTCATCTACAACCATACCACCACACCCGGCATGCCCGATTGCAGCAGCTTCCAAGTCGAGGATTTCCCCAAAGGCTTCCAGCACAACCTCTCTCGGCTTGATCAATGCAATCCACACCCCACTTCGTCCCTGCCGCCTAGTTTGCGGGCCCTGAAATTCACTTTTCCCTGGCCGCTGGGCCTGTTTGCGAGGGGCCTAGGATTACACGAGCAATTTCCACTCTCGCCGAAGCGCACGCAGGAGAAGGGCTGTGCGTTCATGGTTGACTTTGCCAAGGCAAAGACGGCCGAGATGGCGGCTGTAGAGGGGGGCGCAGTGCTGGGTGTTGGGGGCATGAGGTTGGGATACTTGCCGCTGTTGGAGAAGGTGGCGTTCAGAGAGGTTCTTGCGGGCATAGATATGCCGCTAAGGGACTTGGATGTCGCGATGGAGTATACGGTCCCGGAGTGTTTGAGGGGAGTGTTTGAGGAGGTGGGCGTGGAGTTGAGTGTTGAGTTGGTTAGCATGCGACATTTGACAGTATTTAAGTTTTACTCCACAGGTTAGAGTGATGCATACGCAGGACAGAGTGGCGGATACAAGGGCGTCTTGGTAGGGGGTTGATGGGATTGTGGGTTCAGTGAGTGAGCTGTTTTGTTAAGAGAGACGAAAGATGTAGCAGGTTTTTTGTTCGTTTAGGGTAGTACTATAAGAGTCTTGATTACTGTAAGCAACGTAATAATGCAATCCCAAGTGTCCTTATCCAGACTAATCAAAACAGGCACATACCAGATATGGCCAAGAACATATGGCGAGCTGAGAATATACCCGGTGAGTTCTTCACTACATCACTATTCTCACAGTCGATAACAGTAGTTCATAGAATACAAGTGAAACGCAATCCGGATTCCAAAAAGCCGCCTTGACACAGTCCGCCGAAACATCAACCGAAGACGCTCCTTTTCGGAGAGGAAAAAATCATGGAATTAATATTAGTCACTCTGTCTGGGAATGAACAGCAGAGTAGTGAACAAGCCTAGTTGATATGGAGGTCCATTGCATACCTCCGAAATTCCTTACATGGAGCCTTCATTCACAAAGGTAAAAACCCCAATACAACGTGAGGTGCTATGATAAAGACATATCCCAGCTCCCACAATCAGCGCTCCAGCAAAAGGACACCTCTCCTCTTCCACCTCTGCGTCTTTTTACCTCTGCAACTTCTCCCCTGCCCTAAACAGCAATTGCAAATACTCATAGCCTTGGCTACAAAGACTGCAACACCTCACTACACGCACGGGACACCCTTTACCAAACGCCCGTCTGCTTACACACTCTACTCCCACACTACACAACCACGCCATCCTCACTACGGTAACAGCCACCGCTAACATGCCTAAAATGCACAAGATCCTATACTCGCCTCCTCCCACCTACCCTCTTCATACTAACCACATTCACATCTTTAATCACCGTCTCCATCACCAGTCTATACTCTACAACGTCGACATGACGCCCGAAAGGACGAGAACGAGGAGGAGCTGGTGGGCTAGAAGAGTAAGTTGTGGTGTTGTGTGCCGGAGAGAGTGAGAGCGAGGGTTGAGCAAGTAGAGGTGGATGTCGGATTAAGTGTTTCAGTAATCAGAATGAAGGAGAAAATCTTCAGTGGGGATAGATACACACACCCAACCACCCAAACACCCAATCCAAACACACCAATCCTCGAAAGCAACGGAGTACTATACCCGTGAGCCGTAAAGTGTAACACCACTCCACACCACCGTTATTGTCGCTATATCATTTGACCAGCGAAGACCTACACCACGAACCATACACAGCATTTCAAATACCGAACTAGGCACCGCAACAACAAAAACATCCCCTCAATTCAATTCAGAGAAAAAACGTAAACCAAACAAAAAACAAGTGGGTATGATAAAGCATAGCTTACTAGCGATAAACAAGAATACCTCC